CAGAATTAAAAAAAAAAATAAAAAGATTATATACCCCGCACATTGTCCGTGAAAAAGCCAAGTTATCTAAATATAACTAAAACCCACCCTCTCAGTAACAAGTTATGAGGCTTAAAATGTTCCTCTTTGACCCTGTTATCAGATTCAAATGTAAAAAGCATTTGCATCCCCATACCAGAATTAAATTAAAAAATAAAAGATTTTCACCCTGCACTTTGTCCGTGAAAAATAAAAGTTTTCTAAATTAAAATAAAACCCACCCTCTCACGGGGTTGGAATTCACCATACTGACGTAAAAAATGACGAGAAAGATGAATCCGATGTTTAAAACTTTTGCATGTCACCCCTTCATCCCCTAATTTCAAATTTGAAATTTTGAGGGGTGGTTTCGGTCACAACCCACCCTCTCAGCTACAAGTTATGTGGCTTAAAATGTTCTTCTTTGACCCTGTTAACAGTTTCATATGTAAAATACATTTGCATCCCCATAGCAGAATTAAAAAAAAATAAAAGATTATATACCCCGCACATTGTCCGTGAAAAAGCCAAGTTATCTAAATATAACTAAAACCCACCCTCTCAGTAACAAGTTATGAGGCTTAAAATGTTCCTCTTTGACCCTGTTATCAGATTCAAATGTAAAAAGCATTTGCATCCCCATACCAGAATTAAATTAAAAAATAAAAGATTTTCACCCTGCACTTTGTCCGTGAAAAATAAAAGTTTTCTAAATTAAAATAAAACCCACCCTCTCACGGGGTTCGAATTCACCATACTGACGTAAAAAATGACGAGAAAGAAGAATCCGATGTTTAAAACTTTTGCATGTCACCCCTTCATCCCCTAATTTCAAATTTGAAATTTTGAGGGGTGGTTTCGGTCACAACCCACCCTCTCAGCTGCAAGTTATGTGGCATAAAATGTTCCTCTTTGACCCTGTTATCAGATTCAAATGTAAAAAACATTTGCATCCCCATACCAGAATTAAATTAAAAAATAAAAGATTTTCACCCTGCACTTTGTCCGTGAAAAATAAAAGTTTTCTAAATTAAAATAAAACCCACCCTCTCACGGGGTTCGAATTCACCATACTGACGTAAAAAATGACGAGAAAGAAGAATCCGATGTTTAAAACTTTTGCATGTCACCCCTTCATCCCCTAATTTCAAATTTGAAATTTTGAGGGGTGGTTTCGGTCACAACCCACCCTCTCAGCTACAAGTTATGTGGCATAAAACGTTCCTCTTTGACCCTGTTATCAGATTCAAATGTAAAAAACATTTGCATCCCCATAGCAGAATTAAAAAAAAATAAAAAGATTATATACCCCGCACATTGTCCGTGAAAAAGCCAAGTTATCTAAATATAACTAAAACCCACCCTCTCAGTAACAAGTTATGAGGCTTAAAATGTTCCTCTTTGACCCTGTTATCAGATTCAAATGTAAAAAGCATTTGCATCCCCATACCAGAATTAAATTAAAAAATAAAAGATTTTCACCCTGCACTTTGTCCGTGAAAAATAAAAGTTTTCTAAATTAAAATAAAACCCACCCTCTCACGGGGTTCGAATTCACCATACTGACGTAAAAAATGACGAGAAAGAAGAATCCAATGTTTAAAACTTTTGCATGTCACCCCTTCATCCCCTAATTTCAAATTTGAAATTTTGAGGGGGGGTTTCGGTCACAACCCACCCTTTCAGCTACAAGTTATGTGGCTTAAAATGTTCCTCTTTGACCCTGTTATCAGTTTCAAATGTAAAATACATTTGCATCCCCATACCAGAATTAAATTAAAAAATAAAAGATTTTCACCCTGCACTTTGTCCGTGAAAAATAAAAGTTTTCTAAATTAAAATAAAACCCACCCTCTCACGGGGTTCGAATTCACCATACTGACGTAAAAAATGACGAGAAAGAAGAATCCGATGTTTAAAACTTTTGCATGTCACCCCTTCATCCCCTAATTTCAAATTTGAAATTTTGAGGGGTGGTTTCGGTCACAACCCACCCTCTCAGCTACAAGTTATGTGGCATAAAACGTTCCTCTTTGACCCTGTTATCAGATTCAAATGTAAAAAACATTTGCATCCCCATAGCAGAATTAAAAAAAAAAATAAAAAGATTTTATACCCCGCACATTGTCCGTGAAAAAGCCAAGTTATCTAAATATAACTAAAACCCACCCTCTCAGTAACAAGTTATGAGGCTTAAAATGTTCCTCTTTGACCCTGTTATCAGATTCAAATGTAAAAAGCATTTGCATCCCCATACCAGAATTAAATTAAAAAATAAAAGATTTTCACCCTGCACTTTGTCCGTGAAAAATAAAAGTTTTCTAAATTAAAATAAAACCCACCCTCTCACGGGGTTCGAATTCACCATACTGACGTAAAAAATGACGAGAAAGAAGAATCCAATGTTTAAAACTTTTGCATGTCACCCCTTCATCCCCTAATTTCAAATTTGAAATTTTGAGGGGGGGTTTCGGTCACAACCCACCCTTTCAGCTACAAGTTATGTGGCTTAAAATGTTCCTCTTTGACCCTGTTATCAGTTTCAAATGTAAAATACATTTGCATCCCCATACCAGAATTAAATTAAAAAATAAAAGATTTTCACCCTGCACTTTGTCCGTGAAAAATAAAAGTTTTCTAAATTAAAATAAAACCCACCCTCTCACGGGGTTCGAATTCACCATACTGACGTAAAAAATGACGAGAAAGAAGAATCCGATGTTTAAAACTTTTGCATGTCACCCCTTCATCCCCTAATTTCAAATTTGAAATTTTGAGGGGTGGTTTCGGTCACAACCCACCCTCTCAGCTACAAGTTATGTGGCATAAAACGTTCCTCTTTGACCCTGTTATCAGATTCAAATGTAAAAAACATTTGCATCCCCATAGCAGAATTAAAAAAAAAAATAAAAAGATTTTATACCCCGCACATTGTCCGTGAAAAAGCCAAGTTATCTAAATATAACTAAAACCCACCCTCTCAGTAACAAGTTATGAGGCTTAAAATGTTCCTCTTTGACCCTGTTATCAGATTCAAATGTAAAAAGCATTTGCATCCCCATACCAGAATTAAATTAAAAAATAAAAGATTTTCACCCTGCACTTTGTCCGTGAAAAATAAAAGTTTTCTAAATTAAAATAAAACCCACCCTCTCACGGGGTTCGAATTCACCATACTGACGTAAAAAATGACGAGAAAGATGAATCCGATGTTTAAAACTTTTGCATGTCACCCCTTCATCCCCTAATTTCAAATTTGAAATTTTGAGGGGTGGTTTCGGTCACAACCCACCCTCTCAGCTACAAGTTATGTGGCTTAAAATGTTCTTCTTTGACCCTGTTAACAGTTTCATATGTAAAATACATTTGCATCCCCATAGCAGAATTAAAAAAAAATAAAAGATTATATACCCCGCACATTGTCCGTGAAAAAGCCAAGTTATCTAAATATAACTAAAACCCACCCTCTCAGTAACAAGTTATGAGGCTTAAAATGTTCCTCTTTGACCCTGTTATCAGATTCAAATGTAAAAAGCATTTGCATCCCCATACCAGAATTAAATTAAAAAATAAAAGATTTTCACCCTGCACTTTGTCCGTGAAAAATAAAAGTTTTCTAAATTAAAATAAAACCCACCCTCTCACGGGGTTCGAATTCACCATACTGACGTAAAAAATGACGAGAAAGAAGAATCCGATGTTTAAAACTTTTGCATGTCACCCCTTCATCCCCTAATTTCAAATTTGAAATTTTGAGGGGTGGTTTCGGTCACAACCCACCCTCTCAGCTGCAAGTTATGTGGCATAAAATGTTCCTCTTTGACCCTGTTATCAGATTCAAATGTAAAAAACATTTGCATCCCCATACCAGAATTAAATTAAAAAATAAAAGATTTTCACCCTGCACTTTGTCCGTGAAAAATAAAAGTTTTCTAAATTAAAATAAAACCCACCCTCTCACGGGGTTCGAATTCACCATACTGACGTAAAAAATGACGAGAAAGAAGAATCCGATGTTTAAAACTTTTGCATGTCACCCCTTCATCCCCTAATTTCAAATTTGAAATTTTGAGGGGTGGTTTCGGTCACAACCCACCCTCTCAGCTACAAGTTATGTGGCATAAAACGTTCCTCTTTGACCCTGTTATCAGATTCAAATGTAAAAAACATTTGCATCCCCATAGCAGAATTAAAAAAAAATAAAAAGATTATATACCCCGCACATTGTCCGTGAAAAAGCCAAGTTATCTAAATATAACTAAAACCCACCCTCTCAGTAACAAGTTATGAGGCTTAAAATGTTCCTCTTTGACCCTGTTATCAGATTCAAATGTAAAAAGCATTTGCATCCCCATACCAGAATTAAATTAAAAAATAAAAGATTTTCACCCTGCACTTTGTCCGTGAAAAATAAAAGTTTTCTAAATTAAAATAAAACCCACCCTCTCACGGGGTTCGAATTCACCATACTGACGTAAAAAATGACGAGAAAGAAGAATCCAATGTTTAAAACTTTTGCATGTCACCCCTTCATCCCCTAATTTCAAATTTGAAATTTTGAGGGGGGGTTTCGGTCACAACCCACCCTTTCAGCTACAAGTTATGTGGCTTAAAATGTTCCTCTTTGACCCTGTTATCAGTTTCAAATGTAAAATACATTTGCATCCCCATAGCAGAATTAAAAAAAAATAAAAGATTATATACCCCGCACATTGTCCGTGAAAAAGCAAAGTTATCTAAATATAACTAAAACCCACCCTCTCAGTAACAATTTATGAGGCTTAAAATGTTCCTCTTTGACCCTGTTATCAGATTCAAATGTAAAAAAAATTTGCATCCCCATACCAGAATTAAATATAATAAATAAAAGCTCCCCGCCCTTTCCACTCTTAATATTTATTATCTCATATATTAGCGTGGCTTTGGCCAGCTTCCTCAATTTTCGTTCATTGGTCCTTTTTATTAGTATACAAGATGACGTTTTTCTAATTCGTTTATTTATAATACTTGTTACATACAAATAAAAAATAATTTAATGATTATCATTCAAACATTTGTTGGTAAAAATTATGAACTAAGAGATAGCTTTTCCTCTCTTGGTAATCACTCCTATTTGAAGTATTTTACCACTTGCTTGAGAACTCCTTGTTTCAAATCAACTTGTCCCATCATCAAAAATCTGTAGAGCTGACCTATAATTTTATAATCGTGAATTAAAACATCCTTCAAGTAATATATAAGCTTACCAACAGTCACTTTTTTTTTCTCAATTTTTTTGTGAATTTTTTTCAAATTCTCGGCCTCCTTTCCAGCTTTGTATGTAGAAAATGTCATGTTTCTTTGCACTTCAGAACATACTAGCCATTGAATTAGGTATTTTAATTGTGGGTCACCCTATGATTGTTAGTATAGCAGATAATATATAAGTATAGTTTAAATTTATGCAGGTTTAGTTCTTACTCCAAAAACTCCGCAACCCCAAAAGCCAGTGCAAACATCCCCAATGAAATCATCGATTGGTCGGAAACCAGCAAAAGCTTTTCTCAATTCGCGTTCGATACACTGAATTTTGTATTGGTCATCTCTATTTGTGAATGGGTATGCATCCATAGCAACAAATCTGGATTTGATATAGTTTTCCTCGTCCATCGCTTCTTCCCCTGTGCAACAGTTTCCAGTGTATTCGAAGGTCTCAGAGTAGCCTTTGTAGTTGTTGAACCTTCTTACTCCTATTAGAACATCATGAATTTTTTATTTTTTTTTTGATAAAAGGTTACAAAGTGAAAATTTTTTGCCACAGGTAGATAAAAAGTATGTTTTCCATTTATACCTCTGAAAAATGCTGCTTCATTGTAGCACATTGCCTCATTTAACAACGATCCTATGAGCATTTCAGGATAGCAGCAGAATAGAATTTCCTCCTGCACCAACCCATGCGTTAGAATTCCACCGCCCACTTGTCTGGTTAACATAAAATTGTGATGAGCGAATATAATGAGTAATTAATAGAACACCTGTTAGCAAAGTCAACTCGGAGAAAATCCCCTTTCGCATCCTCAATTTTCTCGTCTGTGAAAGAGACTTTGCACATAGGCTTCAGAGAATCCATCCACTTAGGGAACTCCTTTATTCTTTGCCTTGAAAAAGACAGTTTGTATTCTTCTTTGGGTGCTGATAAACATTTTGCATAGTTAGTTATTATTGTTAGGTTAATTAGTTAAATATTATATGCATGTACTTGTTTATTAAAAATAATTGGACATTCAATGAAGTATTGATTATCGAACTTTGGTTAATGTTTAATGTATTACCATAATCCTTGTTGAAAGATGCATTGAAATAGTTGAAAAAACACAGCAACTTTTGTAGCTTCATGCTAATTGAAGTTGCAGAATCAGTGGATTTCACCCTCAGAAAACTAAAACATATAGAATTATCAAGAAAAGGCTAAAAAATATAATCCAGGAATAAATTTACTCTCCAAGGTTGATGGGAGGGTAATCTCCATAGGGCAGAAGAGAATGCAAAGTTGACGAGCTCCTCTTGGGAAACAAAGACAATAGTGCAGCCCCCATGATGTAAATTGCTTGCAACCGACAAATGACCACAGTTTCAATCTCATAATCTTCCAGATCATTATTTTGAGTGTTGCGAAGCAATCTCAAAGGTGCTGTGATTTGGTCTGGCATGTCCTTAGTGAAATCTCTCAGCAGATACACAAAGGACTGGGAGAAGAACAAAAAAATAGAATCCTAAGAAAAAAATGCACTTATTAATACACAGTTACTAGTCAAGCAAAAACATAAAAACAATATATTAAAAAGAAATTATAATTTATGTGAAAATTTTAAGTCGGTGAACATTATAATTGCAAAAGACAAAATGCACAAATGAAGGAAGCAACCCAAAAGGTAATCAGTTCATCTTGTGTGGGTGAGCTGTCCTTCAATTATTAATTTTTCTGCTCAGACGACTTATTCATTTTTATTAACTTGGCAACAACAGAGTTTGCTCGGTTTCAATTTTGTCATTAAAACCACTTTTTTTCGTTACGTTATAAATTCATTTCACAATATTTTTAATTCATCTTAATATGTGAAACATATTTTCATTTTTTTTTAAAGGGACACAATTTGGGAAGTGGTCAACCGATTGAATAAAATTTTAGTTAAATAAAAAGTGCCAATTTATATTACATGTTTATTTTAAATTAAAAATTATTCAATTTTTACCTTCATCACTTTACTTCCAGCCGGAGTTCCAAGAATTTTAATAGCGTATTCGAACATCTTGTAATCGAAATTGTGGGTAAAATTGTACAAGTCAATCATGCGAACCAGCAGGGTTCGATCGAATTCTTCATCAGCATTGTACGGAGTCATATTCATTGCCTTCAAGAATTGCTGCCAACGACTGACAGTAGCCTTCGGATTCTGAGGGCAATAATCGAAATTAATGCTACAACAGTCCTATAGAGTGTTCCAAATTCAATTCGGAGGGCTGGAGATACCGCTTTCTAGGTGAATGTGACCTCCTCAGTTTTAATCCGGGGTCAATAATAAAATATTTAATTTTCACGCACACCTGAGATAAAAAAAGAGTTAGCTAGGAGTAGCGCCTAGGTGCCATTTGAAAAGTAATTTTCAAAAAATTTTTTGCATTGGGAAAATTTGCGATTTATTTTCACATTTACTTAATAACGGATTCTCTAACCCTCCGAATTTTATTTGGACAACCCTACACTTGAAAATAAAATATTACCAATGGGTCAGGGTAAACGTTTTGGGTAGAGTACGGCATCAGCAAGTAATCACGTCCATGATAGTCATAAACAGTGTCGGGAGGCACAGCTACACATACTTTGTCTGTTCCGGAGTTTCCTGGTATGATCCTATAATTTTAATGATATTAGTACACTGGTTTTTTAACGTGCGTCCACTTACATTGCGTAACTGTATTCTGCTTTCTTTATTCCATTGAAGTTTGATTCACAGAGAAGCAACGTCTGAAAATATAACAATAAACCGGCTTATGATGGCTAAAGTTTTCGTAAATACAACTTTAAAAATTAACAATCAGACTCGAAAGTGCTGACAATGCCATTTCACGGTATTCAAATGTATAAAAAGACATAAAAATCTAATTTAAAGTTGCTGAAACACGCGCCTAAAAAATGTATTTTTATATTTTAAATACAACTACAAACCACTTAATTTTGTTTACGTACATTCCGAGATTCGCAATAAAAAAAAAATCATTCAAAACGGTAAAATATAGCCTCAGAATCTTCTCAAGGACAATGTCAAACATTATTATTAAGAAATTTTTTCTCATATGATAAACAAAATAATACAAAAATGTGCCTTGTTAATGATAATGTTAAACATTATTACCAATAATTTCTCTTACATGATCAACAAAAATAAAAAAAAAGTGTGTTTAATATTGTTATATGACATAAACGTTATAAAGATCTGCAATTTTTTCATTGCGTAAAGAACGCATGTTTTCTTGACTCGCGAAAATTGCTCGGCTGATTTGCATTGTGACATTTCATTGCTGGTTGAATTACGGAATCATCTGTAAGCAACGGATTTAAAAAAAAAATTTAACTATGAACCCAAATAGTTTAGCATGGAAAAAACGCATATTGTAAATGATTATTATTTTGAGAAAAAAATTCAATAAATTTCGTAAATCTAATTATTATCTTCTATGATGAGATGGATGACTCTGGAGCTGCAGCTGGTCTTTTTTTAATTTTAGCTCTGTAGGTTTTTATGAGACAAGTTACCGCAGACGTACCTTACAAACAAACAGGACAGATGCTACAAGTCCCTAATTTTTTTTTTGTAAAATTCATTTATACAAAATACAAAAGCTACACGTGCGGAACTTAGAATAACCAGAATTGACTAGTTTTTAGATATTAATTTAAAATATAAGTCAATGTAAAAGCAATTAATAAAGTATTGCCTACTCTATTGGAAAGTGGAAAGTGTACATTCCTTTGCATGTGATAAATTTGTGGCACAAAAATGGTAATCTAGAAAATTCTTTTTAATTTATTGCATTGAGCTTGATGTTAGCAAAGTCGGCAAAGTGAAAGTTTCAAATGAATTTTTAATTTACAAAAATTCCTTAAAAATATTCCAACTTCCATGACTTTAATTGTAAATTAAAAAATATCCGCGTGTAACTTTATCCCCAATATGTGTTGAAAAAAATGTGTCTCGTGACGTGCATCACGTGTTTTGTATATTACAGGTACAGGTTTGTAGCTTGTGTCACTTTGTCTGGTATGTTGTGACTGCTGTAACTTGTTCCCGCATTCGACTCTAGAGTCACTGTTAATGAAACTCATGGCTCTGGAGTCAGAAAATCTGGCTTCGGTTCCCCGCCTTGGCCCCCAGACCCAGAAATGGAAACCAGAAAGAAATCCCACGTTTTCAGCTATCAATTCAATGAATATAAATTAGCATAAATAAATTACAACCAGCCGCCGCTAACTTGAAGACGGGTCGTCAGTCAAAGCAGGCCGAAGCCTAAAAATCTCGAGGCTGAAGTTTCTAAAGCAAGTAGATCCCGTTTTAATCAACCCGGATGTTGAACTTTTGCTGAATAAAACGAAATCAAAATCAAATACCTTCCAGTCATTATTGTGACTTGATGGAAGTCCAGCCATGATGTAATTGCTGGAGATTTACGGAAAATATTGTACCAGCAGCTCTACTCTGGGGCAGCTGTGAGCCATGTATACTGCATCTGATAATAGGGGAACTAGTCAACTAGAGGGAGAAGGGAGTATGTTGTGTGATTTGGAGAGGGAGAGGGAAGAACGCATGCATGCATGTCGTACAACTTGTTATTCTTACATAAGAACAAGCACAAAGCACAAGCGCGACGGAACATCCTCCACGTATGGCTGCTGAGGTACAAATTTTTAATTATACTTAATAATTGTAAATCAATATTTTTGGGCTCGTTACGTATTAAACCAAGGTCAGAAACGAAATTTATCAAAACAATTTCAATTTATACCGAATAACCGAAATATGTACATATTTGTCTCATCATTAACACATGATCTGATCGTGTGGTATCACTTCATATTTTAATTACAAATATTCGCAAATATTATTATAATGGGGTACATTTACTTGAGATCCCGGGGGAAGGGGGGGGGAATTTTGTCCCGGGAGGTTAGTGGCAGGAAAATTTTTAGCTCTACCCGAAAATTTAACGCTTTTAAGCGGGAGGAAATTTTAATTTTTAGTTTATCCCAGCCGGCTGGACAAAGTTTCTTAAACGTGGCGTTTTTCTCGTGCAGCATATCAGCTATTTTAAATATAAATCATTTTCTTGTCGTGAACTACCATGTTTTGATTTTCTGTATGAGGAAATTTCCAATTTTCCATTTCAATTTTTTTCTGTATGAGGAAATTTCCAATTTTCCATTTCAATTTTTTTCATGTATGACTTGAGTAGAAATAGCAACAATAATAATTTACATGGTGAAATTTTTAAGAACTACAATTTATGATGTCATATTGTGACCACATTTTCCAAAATTTTAATTTTTTAATTTCCCCTTTTCAATTGATTTGCATTGCATATTTTACTTCAATCATCTTATGAAAAGTTCTTAATCTTCATAAAATTAATTTTACAAATAAAGTTAGCTAAATAATTAATTGAAATTGAAATTTATGAAAAAATTAAAATGAATCCCTGCCTGCTGTTAATTGCTAATGCAGCTTTATAATTTGATTGACTAGCCCCCACAAATTATTTAAAAATAAATTAAAAGAATAATTAAAAAAATTAAAGTTCGTAGAAGTTATTTTTCAGACAATGTTCAGGCCAAGACTATCTTATAATAAATATAATATCTTGTAATAAAAAATTATCAATTGAAAATTTGATATCAAAAAAATTTGTTATAATCAAAACATGCAATAATTTTTTTCTCAACATAATTTATAATTTTTATTCTAAAACATATTTATACAGAATAGCATCACCCAGTGCAACCCATACTCGTTTGCAATTTGGTTTCAACTTAACCTTCAAAGTAAAAAAAATTTACGTCGGTCCGATTTGAATTTTTAATTCTTGCTATTAAAATAAACTATAATTTTATTTCTGAAGAAGATTTAAATTTTATTATTGATTTCATCTCAAATATTTGGATACTCATATGTTACTGAAGGAGGATTTATGTTTCATTTTTCAAAATCATATTTGTTTGCTGCCAGGAATTTTTTATATTTTTTTTTTTTTTCGATAAAGCACTTCTTATTTAAAGGCCACACTTTTGGCAAGGGTCAGCAGCAAATTAAACTTGTGATGAATGCTAAGCCTGAACCTAACATTTTCCTCGCGTGGGAAAAGTTGCCGCATATCACGCAGTATTTCACGTGACGCATAGAACAATTCTCCAAACGGCTCTGGAACAACTCTCCGTGGAAAAATTCTCCGTAAACCATGGAAATTAATTTATAAGTGACAATTAAATGAATCAAAATTCTGGAAAATGTGGTAACAATGTGACGTCATAATTGTAATTTTTGGGCATGTAGTTTATTTCCTCATCCAGAAAACCTTATGAAAGAATGTTGGAGACAATAATTTCGAGAATAAACAGCAATAATGCTGCTCATTTTTTCAAATAAATTTTTTTTTCATGTATATGACTTGAGTACAATAAACAACAATAACAAGAAAATAATTATTACAAAATAAGTATCTGGTATACTAGATGAAAAAAAATTAAGTACACCATCGGCATTTGGGTTCGAGGAAGATTTATTCTTATTATGTGTCCATGAAATAAAAGTTAATTTCATTCCACAGGAAGTAAACTATCGCGGTGAGAGTTGGAAATCCGTCTATCTGACCAAAATGGCTCGCATTACTCTTTGCAAGGGTGATGTTACCAACGCTCCTGAGGGCTACGCAATCGCCCATTGCATCTCAAAGGACGCCAAAATGGGTGCAGGTGTAGCTTTGAGTATTTGCTCCAAATACCCTGAAAATCGTTCTATTCAACCCACTCAAATAGGAAAGACAATTCTAAAAGTTACTTCTTCTGGCCGCTTCATTTTCAACGTGGTTACAAAAGACAAGTACTGGCACAAACCAAATGAAGAAGATTTTTGTGCTGCTTTGCACGACCTGAAAATGAAAATGAGTTTGGCACGAGCCTATCACTTGGCCATCCCTAAGTTGGGATGTGGCAGGGACCGTCTAAATTGGGGAAAAGTTTTGCATTTTTTATTGCGTGAATTTGAAGACTACCCTGCTGAAATATTAGTTTTTAGTTAAAGGGGCATGATAATTTTTTTCCACTTCAAATTAACATATTTTATTTATAAATTTTGAAAATATAGCGTTTTGTGTTTGTTTTTATATTACTTCTTGAACTTGCACAACTATGTAATGTAATGTTTTTTCCTCCAATAATCTTTTACATCAAGATCAAGATCAAGTGAAGAAAATTAATTGTCAATTTACAATCTACAATTGATATTGTAACCAAATTTTTATGTAAATACCTTTTCTTTGCATATACTCTTAGAATGTTTTCAGGATACTTTGTAATGTATGTTCATAATTAATTGTCTTGTATTTTTTCTTTATCGTATTTCTTACTTCATACAATAAAGTGAAAGAAGCATGAAAATACAAATACCTTTTTTTATAACTTATACCAAGTGTTTTAGTTTCAATATTTAGAGTCATATTAGTGTAAACAGCGTTCAGCAAAAAAACTGACTATTTGTAAAAAATGAGCTGCATTGCACAGTTGCGGCTTAAGGCAGTTTTATGATGCTTTTTTGCCTAAGAATGAAAAAAGTTAACTTTTCAATTTTATTGTGATTTTCCATGGGAAAAGTAGCAAAACCAAATTTTTTATATGTAAAATAAATATGAAATATCACCTCAAATCACAAAAGTATGTGTAAATTACAAGTTACACTGAAATAAAAATGAAAATAGAAA